TTTAAAAATTAAATATCAATACACAAATTATTTAAAACCATTTTTTTCTAACAGCTAAAACTAAAGCTAATAATAAATAAAATGAATAGTCAACGAATAAATTATAATATATTTTAATACATCTCGAAATGGCGGAATTATTCTAAAATGTACGCAATATTCACAAGCCTTTTTTTTATTAATAATAAATAAATTATAAGTTATGACACACTCATATCATAATCAAGAAAATATAAATTAAATTTTCGGACATGAAAGCAGAATCTAAAGAATTTGATTGTTTTATTTTTTACTGTTTTGTTATAAATTTAAAAGAAAAAGGAGTTATAACTTCAAATAAGTTTTGGTATAAATGTATTCTATTTCTGTGAGTATATTGGTATAACGTCGGTTCGGATCGGCATGGACAGTGTTAATGAATTTTTGAATAGTCGAGGCACGGGACGGAGAATCGATACCGCGTAGAGCGCGTGGCAAGGAATTCAATAATTTCATTGTACGTACATACATACCTACTCATATATGAGTACATACACGATATTTATTTAGTACATTCACGCATCACAAAAACATATTTGCGATTTGATCAGATTCGATATTCAGTCCAGCTTCGGATTGATCTAACTAAACTAAAGCTGTGTTCATTAAGGTACTTCAATAAATAAACTAATATAGCTTACTAACTAAAATGATATCGTGAATATTGTACTGATGGGATTTACGCTATTTGTAATGTTTTGTCGATGTATTTCAACATTTTCTTTTCAATATACTTTTTTTCTACTAAATATTCTATTTTTCGACTGAATCGTAACTAATGCATCTCAAAATCAACAAGTTCATAAAGGTATTTAACTATTTTGAACAGCTTGCTTTTATATATAATTTTTTTTAATATACAATACTTTTTTTATATGTTCTTTATACTTTAACAGCACGCGTGCATTTGACACATTAGCGTACGAGCATTAAAACCTTATTTATGTAATTACTATAGGAGATAAAATTCTTTTATTACTAATATAAATTGTTTTATCGCGGTAATACCTTCCACTTTATATAAACCCTTCTGTATTGAGCAATATTTCTGCGTGGAAGGGAGCCATATTTGTTTTTACAAAGTTCAATTACAAACAAATTGTGATGAAAAAAAACAATGTAGTTAGTTAATTAAATTGGTTATTTGGTTATTTATATTTATTTATTGGTTATTTATAAAAACTTATAGCATTAATTTCGTAAGTAAAAGCTATCACCGCGATAATTATTCAGTATCATTTGTTTTGTTTCACAACGCGTTATAAAAAATTCTTTCGCCCGTTTTCGACCTTTTCAAAGTCGTGCTTTCATACTCTGTTTATCCTGTTTTCTCATGCACTCTTAAAGAATAGAATGAGAGGAACAGCAACATTCAAGCGTGTTAAATCACATGTCGAGCACAATATTCATCATTAATAGTTTTTTCATATTGTTCACCTCAGCTCGTGATGCACTTTGTAACCGATGCCACCTCTTCAGGAATCCTGTCATCTGTAAAGAAAATACACGTCCAGTTTCAATCTATGTTAAAAAACTGCAGTTGGGCTTTTAAATTAAAGTATTTTCTATTAAAATCTGCATTTCTCTGAATAATGTAGCAAACAAAATATTATGAGTTGTTTGTCATGTTGGAAAAGGCAGTCCTGAGGAGCTTAAACAGGTTTATAAATCACAAGTCGGGTTTGATTTTCGTTGCATAATGTTTCTGTAACCAATTAAAAAAAGAGGAAAAAAATCAGTTGTCTTCTCTGTCTTTTCTATGTCACGTAACACACCCTGCGTTACGTGACATAGAAAAGTGTAACACCGAATAACACCTCCCCGTAACTTAACTAGTACGAAACACTTAACAACGAATGAACGCTACCAAATATTAACCACCGTAGCCTTGCGATCTCGGATTAACCAAATCTCTAATTTACCATTTTGAACTGTTTCGAACCATGCTCAGAAGTCATTCCCTTTTTTACCGAATTTAAATAATCATTAATCTGGTATAATCTAGGTGTATTAAAGTCGGTTGTAGATAATTTTCGAAGTCGATAATAAAATTAAAGTATACACATCCTTATTTTAAAAGGACTTTTTAAAAAATAGGTCAATTAATTGTTCTGCACTTAATTATCTTCTATATTTATACTGCACGGAAGGCGTAGTAGTTTAAACGGTCACCTCGCCTCTTCCTACTGCGCTGAGTGTTGTGGGTTCGATCCACACATGGGACAACACTTTGTGTGATCCACAAATTCTTGTTCTGAGTCTGGGTGTTCTTTGTGTCCGTATCATGTATGTTTGTAAAGTCAACCGCGACACAGGATTTATTCCTAGTACGGGAGTTGTCGTTTAAAAAAAAAAACAAAAAAAAAAAACAACCAAGTGTAAATTTATCTTTCACTTATCTTTCACACTTTTATTAACTTTGAAATCATGTCGTTCTTATAATATGAAACATACCGTTTAACTGAAATCAACTATCCAAATAATGCTGGCAGGATAAAATAAATTGTTTAAAAGAAAACTGTGCATGTAACTTTTTAATTCTCTTTCAATAATTAATGACATGAAGGAATATTTTTCAAATCAATTTTATTTCAAATATCCATATTAATACAGTACAATAAATATACAAATTGGTAATTAGGTACCTTACTTTAAATAGGTCAGAAGGTACCTACTATTATTAAATAAAGTATATTAAACATGCCTATGTTTACCCCATTAACTATTCTAAGAGTCGTATGTTCGTATGCTTACGCTATTCTATCATACTTGTTCAATTATCGCTACTGTAAACATTTTCAGTACGCCTTCAGCGTATTTCCGTCTACTGTTGGCCTCCCATTTTACTTACCACCTAACATTAACTCTTTTCCATTATTAATATATTTATTTATACGGTATAATACAAATAATTTTTATCTAATAGCTACCTAGGTATTTGTACCTGTCTTCTAAAGGTATACAAATGTAATGTGTATAGGTCCTTATAAATAAACACTGACTTTATGTTTTACTCATAGTTCTCTTTTTATGGTCTTTATAATGACGGCACTTAGTAACTTTAGGTTGCCCAGAGTAGTTGTTTCCTTCCCTTTAAACCTTCACACCTCATAGCCATCCATTTAGGGTTGTTCATTGTAAACATGTTATATTTTTTTCGTATATCAAATAGAATTTGCTAAAATTTACATAGAGCTATGTAAACAGTAAACAAGTCATACCGTCTATAAACCTGTAATTACTCACATGAAGTATTTTACGACTAAACGCTCGTTAGCATAAAGGTGTGTTTGTTGGAATAAATATTAATAAAAAACAACTGGTCAAAATCAATTAACCCAAATGACTGTTGACTATAATCGTTAAAATTACTTCATATGATTATTTTTTGGACTACAGCCTGTTAAATAACTCCACAGAGCAGCTAAGACTCAAAATTGCACTTTATACTCGTAACTTACCTTAACTAATTTTAAAGAGCGGCAGATTAAAATATTAAATCTGATTTTAAAATAAAAAATAATAATGATGATATTAAATCTACTGGAATAGAAAAAATAAGCAGGATTTACTAAATTTGGGAGATCAAGAAACAAGTGTTCGCCCTTTGGCAGTTTACAGAATTATGTGCCAGCAGAGAACAAGTTAATCAACGTGAAATATTGTTTTATGTCACAGTCATGTTGAGAGAGGTGATTGGGCAGCATTTAAATACAGGGAAGATTTTAATCGGCAGTGATTCTACATTTTTTTGGATCCTAGGGAAATATCTATCCTTTACAAATACTCAATTAAAAGATTCAAAATAAACTAAACTCACTGTAATGTATTTGACAATTTGAAATTAAATATTTATTTGATCACTAAACAAACAAAATCATTTAGAATGACTAAATTAAAAATCCAATCAATAAATAAATCTGTCGTAACGGTTAGTGTTTTGTAAATTATTTTCCGAACTGTATTTATTATTCAGATTTCTTGATTTTTAATTGTAAATTACTGGTTTTTGTCGTAAATAAAATAAGAACAAAAATGTAATGTATAAATATTTACACAATCATTTTACTCGCAGACGGTGAAAACCATTTGATTTATTTTCTTTATTCTATTTTAATTTATCTATCAGTATTTCTAAGTTCAGTTTCAGAAATAATCCATAGAAAATTGTTTCAAAAAATATTATGTCATTCACTTTGACAATGAAAGTAGAAAGACCACAAATTATTATGCGAAAACTTTATGCCAATTTTTTTTTTGTAAATTACATAAAGTTGGCTTATTCTCCTCATTGTGTGTTTTGTAAAATGTTTCGTATATTTTAGCACAATATCTTGAAAATATTGTACTGCAAAGGTGAATTGCTAGTAAATTATAATAAGCAGATGATTAAATTTAAAAAAACTAAGCCTATGAGTATATCCAAATCTTTTTGAAAAATATTTCAGATTTATCAAAAATAAAATATAATTCATATTCTTTTTATTTTGAATAGCTTTAAGCGTTAAGCGTGTGTCTTTTGTATTTTATTTTTTCTGTGACAAAAGTGCGTTGCTATTTAAGAAGTGTGATAGCGTATTGAACTTTGTATCTTAAGCATGAAGCAATAAAGCCCAAGCCCCAGAGACATACCTCTGTATTAGTTGGTATTAGTAGCTAGTCATGTTAGGCGTTCACGAACGATGACTTCGTCCTGGGTGAAAAGAATTTTTTTGTGAGAAATTGAACAGATCGAGTGTATTTTTTAGGATTTTTTTTCTTTTCCTAATTAATTTTTTAAACGTAAGTAAACTCAAATATGGAAAATAATCGGCTGTTTGGGTGAAAATCCTTTTTTATATTTTTAATTAGGTATGGAATGAAATATATATCTTCCTGAAATTCAGAGAAATTAATAAAAAGACTAAATGTTTTCAAACACAAAATATCAAATTTTAACAGTCAAATATCCAAGAGGCAACTTACCCAGACAAAGATGCAGAATTGGAAATTGGTGGACTATTGGACTCGAAGCCTTCTTTAGGCTTTTCATTAGCCAATTGCATCTTCAACTGATGTCCGAAGCACGCTAAATCCTCCCTAAAAGTATCCGACCCTGGTGTAGTCGGCTTCTCATCATCACCCGTAGCCATCGCCTCAGCATCACTCTTCAGCGGCGCTTGCTCTGATTCTTCCTCTGTATTGTATAACTTAAAGTACGCAAATGTCAAATATATCACTGAAATTATGAACGATGGTATTGGTATTGCCATAGCATAAACTAGATTCAAGGTGTTCTGCCACATATCTAGTTCAGTAATCACCAAGCCGGGGTCAACTCGGCTGTAGTAGCAGGTGTAGTTTGCACCAAGAGGCATATGCTTACCGTAAAATACAGTGCAATTTAAAATAGGTGGGTACCCACAACCTTTAACATTAGGAAAAAGTCTTGCTCCAGTAAAATACCATTCAGAATCGTTTCCTTGTAAACCAGTAGGTATTGCTTCAGGTAGATCTTCTTCAATCATTTCTGGATATGATTTGTCAGCTGTTACTTCGTAATTTTCGTATTCGTAATCTTTTCTCAGAGCTCTTTCGACTCGGATCAGGTTTTCATCATCGGTTGGGGTAATATTTGGATAGATGCCAAGTTTGTAGTTGACACGGATTTGAGTGCATTCAAAGAGGTCCTTGGTGCAGCCCTCCCTGCAAGAGGTCCAAGAGCAATTGCTGGCTCCGACGAGGTGTTTGACAGAAGCCGTGACACATAATGCTGCTACTGGATCGAATTGCATGAATATAGTTGTGAAAGCTGGTTCTATGACGAAAGGTACCAGGAAGAGGAATGCGAACAGGCTGAAGATGGCCAGTAATACGAAAGTAGCTGTTGTGTAGAACAGAAGTTTTTCGGCAAAGGTTGGCGGTATTTTTTCTTCGTCTGTCATGGTGTGGGCGCGCTAGGGACAAGCATAGCGCTGTCTCAGCTCGCCAATGTCATATCATTTTACATCAGTCTTTGCTAATTGTTTTGTGGCTTGGTTTTATTTACATATTTGGTTGTTTAACTAAAAGGTTTGATGAGGCTGGTTATTTGACAAGCTGCCGAAACAAATAGATTTGATATTAGTTTATTGTTTAAATAATAGAGGACTTTCTAAATGCTTACTACACATCAACAGCAAAAACTGTAATACCTTAACGTTTTTCGTTCAAAGTGACTTAATCTTGGCAATGCAAATTTCTTAGCAATTAAATTCATATTTGAGAACATTTTTAGCCAAAGCGGGATGTTATAAGTTTGACGTGTCTATGTGTCTGTCTGTTTGTGGTATCATATCTCTTAAACGAATGCAGTTTATTTGAACGAAGTTCCTTACCGCGCGTTACACGCTCTGAGCGGCTAGGAGCGAGACCGAAAAATTTGTAACGAGACTTTTTTCCGACACTACATATAGCGTGTCGGCGCTTACATCTTTCGCACATTTCATATGTATACAAACATCTACCAAAGAGTGAAAGGAACTTCATTCCAACCGGGGGTATACAGAACCCTCACCCCGTTTTTTTGTCTAAAAACTGACGTGATCGAGACGGTTCTTAGCCATAATTTGGACTGACCATGACCTCACTTCTTAGTTAATGGTGTTAAGGATTGGTGTACTGTTACTTTAGTGGTATTCCTGCATCATACATTGTGTTAATAACAATCATAGTGTTACTGTTTAATTTTTAAACGAATTCAAAAAGGAGGAGGTACTCAATTCGATTGGTATTTTTGTAACTTAAATTAATTCTTCAATGCTTCCGTTGAATCCTATCTGCGTTTATAAATAATAGTTCAGATAACAGTTACAAATAATAGTACATAGGTAGTATTAGAACTAATGAAAAAACGAATTGACAAAAAACTTCTTTTTATAACTAACAAACTAACGCAAACTCTAAGAATATTTACTCCACACGTTCTAATGTTAGAACGTAAATCTGGAATCTTGCGATTGGCATTTTGCCGCATTTCGCAAAATACTAGAATACCTAGGAGAATAACTGAGATTTAGTACGAACTGGCAGACAGCAATAACTTGGATGAGGTGTGGTGCGAGTGAGAGCGTTTTAAAGATATGAAAAGAATTTTCGTTTACGTAAGCACGAAGATTTTTGAAAAGGCGGTGATACTTGAGTGTTTTTTAAGACGAATTTACGCCTGGATAGCGATAACGGGATTTTATTAGGAGTTTTAAATAACTAATTTGTGTAATTAAGGATTAAGCGTTTTTAATGTACAAAATGGTTTAATTATGTGTATAAATGTAAATACTATATATAGCGAATAGTGTCACAGCTCAAAATATAAAAACAATAATTTTATTCCAATAAATACTTTCTTGATGGGTGGTTACATTTGTGAAGAATACGGTTTTACTCATTACTGTCTCGGTCCATGATAGGCGATCTTTATCAAAAGCTAAAGCGACGTTTCATACCACGTCGAGTGCGTTTAGCAACCGACAACGACACGTGAAACTGTATTTTCTTAATAAATAACAATTTTTATGTACCTACTATACCTAGCTTTTGCTACTAACATTGTAGAAGATACAATGAATCAAGACTTGTTTATTTTGTCGTTATCACTTTTAATCAAGAGTATTTAGAGTTTGAAAATGCTGCTACCAAAAACAACGAAGTTTTATATCAATTTACAACTACCATTTTGCACCCTTAGAGGCGAATTTTTTAAATTTCTTTGTTGTGCACACCTGCGTCACCTGAGTAACATTGGTTCAAAAGTTGATGTTAGACCATGCGGTTTCAACAGTGCGTGAATCAGTCTGTCAGTTCTTCTCTTATAGAGTAGATAGACGTATATTGTAAGTATTTTTAGTCTTTGTTCTAAATTGCTCTAATGCTCTAATAGTATTAACATTTTTTTTTTTCCGTGCGGAAATCCCCTCTGATCTATCGGTGGCATGTCGGACTCGAACCGACTAAAACCGCACGCCGTCTCGGGTACTAATAGCCGGGGAACCAGGTATACCCTAGAAAGGAAGTCCCTGGTGAATAGTATTAACCTAGCTTTAATCTACTGTTCACAATAATTTACTAACGCCTTTATCTCGAAAGGATGATTTTATGATTTTTTACACTATTCCTGATGAGGTACCTATACGAGTATTATTTTTTCAAGTGTTAACTAAAAAAATACAAAAAGCAAAAGATTTGGAAAATCAGTTTTAATTTCTTTGTGAAAAAATTTCGACTGAATTGATTTATTGATTTAAAAAAAAATGTTAAAGCTCTTAAGGTTTTATGTCAATTTAAAATCTATCTAAAGCTATAATAGCTTTAGATGGATTTGATCAACTATAAAATCATCTAATAAAAACTAAACGTAGCTAACATTGAGTTCAATATAGATTTAACTAAAATTTTACTTTTAAAAACTTTTGGAGTTACACACACAATCGCTAGTACTCTACATCGCTACTACTGACACCCCACCCATTTGTACCAGCTATGGACGCCAGACTGTCTGGCCAACAATCTAGTATCTAAATATCGATTCTACCTAGAATTAGCATCGAGAATGCTTTATTCGGTCAAGGCACAGAGAACATAAGCATACTTAGTCTTAATATACTTTGTTGACATAAAATAAAAGACTTATAACTTTTAAGGAGAGGCCTATGTCAAGCAGTGGACTACTAAGGGCTGTTGATGATGATAACTTTTAAGTTGAGTTTATACAGAGAGATAGCATGCTTTAATACAAATGGACCATCTTCTTCGGACTGAATCCAAGGCCTCACAGAAAACCGGTGTTAAGCAGTTCTTTCGTTGATTTTCACTGAGTGAATGAGGTTCCTGAAGACCTAACCCTACCTTCTCTGAATCTGGGGGGAGAGGGATCAGACGACCCGTCTGCTCGCTTGCTCCCTTCTACCATAAAGATAATTTTTAAAAATTGGATTCTTAGAAATTTTAAATTCAACTACCTTTAATCCACATCTACTCGTATATCTATAAAAGAAGAAACTAACAGACTGATTCAATGACTGATCGATCAATTCACAGCTGTAACCGAACATAAATTAGAAAGGATTTTTTTTTTAATTTCACCTCTAAGGGTGCAAAGTTTGGGTTGGAAATTTATATGCAGCCTCGTTATTTATGGTAGTAACGTATCCTCTAGGAAGTCTGATGTCGATCACCATCGACGAAGTTGCTGGCAAAAGCTAGTAGAAAAAAAAATCCATAAATGTCAACAAAACAGAAACAGTGGTACTCCGGGAGTGCGAGACACTTGAATATTTTTTTGATTATAACAGGTTTTTTTTCGATTTGAAAAGTTCCGTCATGAACATATATCTATGTTGTACTTATATACACAATATATTATACTCAATACATAGTACAATATATTGTACGTATAAATACAATATATTATACTCGTATATTGTATTTATACGTACGTTATATGTATTTATTAGGTATTCAATGTATTTCAAACCAAACTCAACTCTCGTGTAAACGGAGCCAGTATTTGCAAATACTTATACACAGAGGTGTCGGTAACGGTAACAATGACGCCAGTTTAATGGTTTTTTTCCCTATCTCAAAAATACATTCTTTTGTTTGTTGTTCAAAAATGCCCAACGCGCTTAAAGAACTATTCACCTTAAAAAAACACAAAAGAGTACAAATACATATCTTTATTGACAACCAGCTGGTCTTCAATTTAACTTCTGTTAAGACCATACCGAATATCGACTGAACTTTATTACCATCATAGCATTTTGTTCCAATTCTAACATCGCCATTATTTATTCACGCAGTCGAACGTAAGTTATCACGATAGGCTGTCGTTCATTAGCTTATGAATTTTGTATTACTATTGAGGGCATGTCAAAATTAACTTAGTCAATATGAATAATTAAAGAGTTCGAAGTTAAAGGTGGACTTTGGACTGTCAGAGGGTTTAAGCCATCGCTGTAATGTGGAAGAGGCTCTGAGGTGAGATCATCTTTACAGAAATCGACTAGCCGTTCAACACATCGCTGGACTAGTTGAGATGGCAATCTATGAATTGATAAGTCTATACTTATATTATAAACTAGCTGGTTTCCGACTTTGCGCGTGGAATTTGAAAAGCGCTGACTCAGTGGGTTCGATTCCCGATCCTGGAATTTTTTTTAAAGCTTTTCTGAAAGTAAAAATAACCTTAGTTACTCCTTATATAGACAGCTACCTGGTAGTAAAATATTATCAAAATCGGTCATGATTTAACTGGCTTTAAGGCATAGGTATCAAGCAAATAACCTTGTAGCATGAAAAATACCTATTATTTTGACATTACGAACAGACACTTAAATTTCATTTCTTACATATATAGATTTGAAGGTTGGATGAAAAGATGGCTGAATAGATGTTTGTTATTCAATCACGTCAGTAAGGCTTTGAAATTTAGCACAGAGATGGATGAGAGTTTCGAATAGGACTTAGGCTTAAAATTATTGCTTACTTTAAATTGACGACTGGATGGCGTAGTGGTTTGCGTAACGGACTGCTATTCCAAAGGTCGCGGGTTCGATTCCCGCTTAAGTCAAACATTTGTGTGCATGAACATTTGATGTTTGATTTGGTCTGGGTGTTTCTATGTATAATATGTATGTATTTACAAAAAAAAAAGTATATATGTATTTATATCAGTTGTCTAGTACCCATAGTACAAGCTTTGCTTAGTTTGGGACTAGATGGCCTTGTGTGTATGTGGTAGAAAAAAAAAAAAAAAAACAAATTATTGATTAAGTCGACATCGCCGTATGCGAAGCCGCGAGCAAATGCTACCCGAGACGGCGTGCGGTTTTAGTCGGTTCGAGTCCGACATGCCACCGATAGGTGGTATCCGAGGGAATTTCCGCACGGGAAAAAAAATGTGATAAAT